TTTCCACACATATCGAATATTCTATTCACAAACATAATCTTTAAAAAATCTAATTATTTAATGATGATTCATCATAATTTTTGTCAACACTTGGAATGTCTATCAATCTAGTTCTTTCTCGTAATTGTGTAACTGCATATACAACATTTCGAAAAGGACATTTTTACTTAAACAAAAAAATTGAGAATTAATGCTATTCACTGAGATATATCGTTACGTAGAGAGATTATATATCTATTTTTAAACTATATCATAGAAAATCTTTCGATTTATAAATTATTTCATTTATAGAAAATAAAATAAATGATTATTTCCTCGTAACATATTCTGCTTATATAATGGTTCATTAATAATATTCGAATCAATTATTCTATCACTGTTCTTTAATTATGAAGAAACCTCATGACAAATCTATACTAAATATACAGATTAAATAAAATAAAAATAAAAATAAAGACTCATCAATATTGTATTTAGCATACACGTCGAATGAATCATACTAAATATAATATCATGAAATAAGAATAAGAAGTGTAACTGTCTCATTTTCTTATTAACCAATATTGTTTTGTATATTCTAATAAGGTAAAGAATCTAACCATCCTATTCTATATACGTGGGTGAGAGGTAAATAGACAAAAAATAAATATTTTTACTTGTCTTATTCATCTAAGACAAAGTATTGTATTATTATCATTATTGTTGATTTGTTATTTTGTATTAGTTTTTATCAATGACAACAAGAAACAAAAATATGAATACAACGATACAAAACAGATATGCTCGTTCCTTTATTGCTGTGAAGAAGGCTACCTAGATTTTTCGCTTTACTAGTCTATTCATATAACTTATGCTTTCAAAATCGATAAAAAATGTATAATTCAAAGAAGAAAAAATATCAGTTATTTTTTTAAAATAAAAAGCAGAAATATATATTCTAATCGGAATAAGAAATTTGAAAATACAAAAAGTTTTTAATTCTGTTTTAGTAGAAAATTTGTAGAATTATTTAAAATAAAACTTACAGTGAAAAAACAATACTAAACGAGATATTTAATCTGAAAATATATATTTAAAATCGAATCAAACGAATATGAATAAAATAAGAGTAAGACTTCTTAGTGAAAAATTGTCAGATTATATCTCATTGTGTAAGATTATAATCGAATTTTTGTGCAACAAAATCAGGATTATAATCGATTGAAATCTTTTAAATCAACAAGAATTCGATTTTTAATCAAAAACTAATCTTCTAAATCAAATATAATTTTGATTAAAATCATCTAGTTCTCATTAAAAATAAAGTAAATCAAAATTATATTTGATTAAAAATCGAATTCTTGTTGAATTAAAAGATTTTAACCGATTATAATCTTACTTAATGAGATATAATTTCACAATTTTCCACTGGGTGACTAATAAACATCTTTTTCTTTGATTTCTTCGTCACTTACTAATATCACATCATATATCTCTTTATATAGAAGAACAAGAACAAGAGGTCAAGCGTCTACAATATGAAAGAGAGCAATGTATTTATATGAAGAGAATAAAGAAACGACAAATGATTAGGGACAATCGAGGGTGACATAAGTATATTTTTTCTATACGTCTATGGGTGTCATAGACAAAAAAAGAATCTTTGTTACATCATTTAGAAGAGATAAATGGATGATGCGAAACCTTCTTCATATTTATAGACACAATCTGTTGATATAGTTAAGAGATGAAACTGTCATATGTATGTGTCCATTTTTAGTCCGATATTTCTTTGAAACTATTGTTGTTAGTAGCGCTAATTCATTGTTATCCTTATAAATTTTAGTTGATTATTTAACACTTGTTAAGTGTATCAAAGACTTAAACAAAGTTGTTATTGATATTTTGAAAATATTTTTGAAAATTTAACTACAGTAGTAAGAAATTAATGATTTCTACACTACTGTTCAACTCAGAGACCAATCATAAGCTTGAATATCGGTTTGATCGAAAAAAAATAAGGATCGTAAATCAATCTTTGAAAAAGTACATGCTTTCATTGTTGAAATGAAATTAAAAGAAAGATGAATACTATCTCAAATTAGTGAGGCTTTTCAGTTGCAAGTTATATGAAAAACTTTGTTTTCAATTGTGATACAATATTTTTTTAGTTCGGTCTTTAGCACTTTTAAATATTATGCGAATTCATGCAGTTTTATAATGTTCATCAAAAAAAATCTATTACTAATGTAATTCCATTTTTAAAATATTTTCTACGACCTCGAGCTTTGTAAAAAAAAAGTCATGCTTCTCAGCATTGCACTTCGTAAAAAAGACATGTTTCACAGCATCGAGCTTTGTAAAAAAAGAATGTTCCATAGCATTTTTCATTGTTAATAATTTATGCGAACTTTAATAAACTTTATTTTAATAATAATAATAATAATAATAATATGAGTAAGATTAGCACTAGAGACGGATTGAATTATCCAAAAAACGAAGATGATAATATATGTTCATCAATAGGTTAACTTTGATTTTTATTGTTCATTATGAAGAAGTGCTTAAAAAAGAATGTGAGTATTGTATTTATATTCATAGCCTATCACTTTATTGATTCTAGTTTTGTTTAAAATAATCTAATTATAACAATTGATTTTGATATTTTTACTATAATTGCTTCTCTTCTAAAAAACTAGTATAGAAAAATAAAAGGAAATGAGAATTATTTTCTAACTCATTGATTTTGTATTGTTTTTAGTTTTTAATGAATTTTCTTATTAAAATAAGAAACCCTAAAATGTAATAGAATATGTCAATAATAATGTTAGAATAGAATTTTCTCGTATTTCTTCAAATATTTTTTCTATTATGATTATTAACGATAGAAGAGGGTAGGTTGAAAGAATATTAGATATTTTAAAAGCTAGAGGAAATATTTTCTGTTCTACATTAGTTATTTTTGTACTTATATTAAATAGAGTACATAAGAATAATAATATATGTCATTCGTGAATATCCTTTTCTTCCAATTTACTGAACTTATTAGTACATTTTTTTTATATCATAGATAATTTCCGTGTAATTTAAGTTAGTTTATGTAGTTATGTCCTGAGTAAATTTCTATTGAAATATCTGACCGAGAACTTTGAATATATTAGTAGTACGATCCTTTTACATGTATTCTGACTGAAAATCTTCTTAATCTGCTATCTACAGAGATTATATTTGCGTGACAAAAGTTAATCTATTCTCTAATTATTAAATCTAAATACTCTATTTATTAGAGAATATGAAGAAAAATTGCGATTCATTATATAATTTTAGAATTAAATCAATTATTTTAAAGATACGTTTCTATAATATAAAAAAAAGTACGTAGAAGTATATTATTGGTAACAAAATAATTCGAGATCCATTAATTCTCTTCTTGATGATATATAAATCTGATGTTATAATAAGAAAAAGTGTATTTTCATAAATAATACATTTGTGAATAAGATGAACAACACAACAACATCATCATCATGTGTAGTTTTAAGTTGGTCATCAAGTACAGTTGATGCTCGTACAGCAACATTATACATCTGTTCAATAGCTGTTGTTATTCATGCATTATTTTGGATTCAATTTTCTTTATGTTCATCAGTACGACAAAAAGGAATGATGTGGATTTATGCATATTTATTAACAGATCTTTTTCTTCTTTTTCGATTTTTTTTATTTTATTTTCAACGAATAGCTGAAGTTTGTATTCCAACAGTTGCAAGAATTTATTTATGTTATTTTGAAGCAACATCAAAAATTTATACAAATACAATTCAAAGTTATATTTTATTAGCATTGAATGTTTGTCGATATATTCAAATTGTTTTTAATCGAAATGTTTATTTGAAACATATTTATATAATAATTCTTGTTCATTTATTAATGTATACATTACCAATAGTTAATATTGCTTTTCAATTTCTTGTAAATTGGACCCAATTATGGAAACAATTAGGTGGAACATGTGATATTCGATATACATCAATCTATGTTCAAGTATATAATTTAATTCTTATTTATATCATACCTGTTTGTCTTAATATTCTATTTCTTTCACTCTGTATTCGTTTTATGAATCAAACCAAATCAATTCAAAATCAACAAATTGTAAATAATCGAAGAAAATTTTATCGTAAACTTTTAATTCAATCAATAACATTTTATACAATTTGGTTTCTTTTATGGAGTCCATTTGTTATTTCATTTCAATTTATTAATGTTAATACAGTTGCAGGTATTGCTACATCTTCACTTAATTATATACAAGTTGCTATTGATCCAGCTATTGTTGCCATTATTGATGTACGCTTTACAAAAGCATGGAAAGCAGCATGGAGAAAAATTAAAAACTATAGACAAGCAAAAATTCATCCACCAATTACAACAGTTATCGTTAGAAAACGATAAAATTCATTCACTTTTTTTTTATCTCGATTTTATTATTGTAAAAAACTATGAAAATATTCTTAGTTTTATATGTCGTCGTATTATATGTATATATAATAACAAACCCTTTTCTTCGATCATAATTAAAAATAAATTATTAGATTTATATAGACTTACTTTCTAGTTTTCATAAACAATATACTATCATAGAATAGATTCATTTTATGTTCTTAGAAAAAAGTTATTAAGCAGGACTATGAAAATAAATAATGAAACTGATAGATACATCGTATTTCCTATATTGAATTATTTCATACAGGAAATACATATTTCAATTGATTGGTAGAATGCAACTGAAAAGACATTTTAAATTTATTTATTAAATCTTCAAATAAATATCAATGATTTAGATAGTTAACTTGATCAATAGAATCTTGATTATATAACGTATAGTTTCGTTTCATTTCTTTTTACTCTTCCGATATGATAAAGATTGATCTTTACGATATTTAATTATTAATGAAGATATGAGAGTAAATGATTGAAATTTGTATAGTTATTGTATATTATTCCGAAAATATTTAACTGATTTACACGTTTTAATCGATGAGGAGAATCTATTGAATGAAATTATTAATACATAAAATCTAAATGATGATTTGTTATTTCAATTGAGAATATATCTGTTGAATAAAATTTGTTTGATAATTTCTATATTTATATTTTTATTCTTAAAAAAAATAATTTGTTAATAATGATAACATTGTTTTGGTATAGAATTGGTTAAATTATTTTTGAGATAATATTGTTTAATTAATTGCGATGATTCAATAAAAAGTAGAGCCATTCCGACTTGTAAATGCCAATCATTATGACAATGTAACATCCATATCCCTGGATTATTTGCTTTAAAACGAAAAACAAGATAAGAATATGGATTAACTGTAAATGTATCTCGATAGATAGGATTTTGTTGATTATAAATAATCTGTTTATATGTTGATTGATTAAAATATCCTTGTGATGAATTTCCTTGCGCTAATATCCAAACATGATGACCATGAAGATGAAATGGATGTGATGCATAATCAATATTATTTATAATAATATCAATAATATCATTAGTTTCAATTGGAATTGTTAATGGCCAAGATAATTGAGCAGATGATGAATTCTTATAAATAAGTAAAGATAATAATGTTTCATTTATTGGATGAACAAATGTTTCATTATTAAAATAAAAATAACCAGGATTTGAACCTTGATGTTTCGAATCAAAAATAAATGTTCTGATATTTGGACTTTTAGGAACTTTATATTCTTCATAATTCATTGGAATTAATCCAAATTCATCACTAAATATTTCTCCATTAGATATTGATTGATTTATAATAAAATCATCATTATTCAATGAATTTATTGATGGAAATGAATTATTAATATTCATATCGTTATTATTATTATTAATATATTGTAAAATAGCATATGCATTTGGTTGAATCGATGAATTATATTGATTATTATAATCAACAAATGGATGAATCGTTGTACGTATCCAATACGTTTGTGAAATATATTGTTTATTAGCAGTAATTAAAACCGAATATCTTTGTCCTGGATTTAAACGAAGAGTTTTAACATATTTGTTTCCATCTAAATAAATTCCATCAGCTTCAATAATTCTCATTTGATGTTGATCAATCGTTAATGTTATTTTAGCATAAACAGATGTATTTATAATACGTAATCTTTTTGTTGTACCAATACGAATAAATGAACGATAATATGAACATGTTTTATTCAATGTACAATTAAATTGACCAATTCCATTAATAAGAGATGAATCTGGTACTGGATCTAACATACCTGGAGATAAATATGTACGTAAAAGTATATGAAGAGGTATATGATACCAATCAGTTAATTGAAGAATATCTTCATCTTCATACAAATATTGAAATGGATCATTTAAATCTTTAATAATAAGAATACCTTTAAGACCATCACCATATTGGATTGAATAATGTGAATGATACCAATATGTACCTGATTGATTCATTGTTTTATATTTATATAGAAATGTTTCATTTGGTTCAATTGAACATTGTGTTACACCTGGAACACCATCCATATCTAATGAATTCATTTGTAATAAACCATGCCAATGAATTGTTATTGGTTCTAATGATTCATTTATTATTGTTAGATTTATAATATCACCTTGATTAACAAAAATTGTTGGTGCAATTAGTTTGGAATTTATACTTAAGATTGATCGTTCATAATTATCAGGAGAAGCATTAAACCATCCAATGCGAAATGTATTATTATAGACTTTAACATTTTCTATTCAAGAGAAAATAAATAATATTTTTATAATTCTTATTTTAAAAATAAATAAATTCTTATTTAATAACATACGTTCTATAGAATTACTTTTCAAATTTTTATTCCGAAGATAAATTGGTATAAGACCAATAACAATAATTACTATTGAAACACAAATAAAAAGTAAAATATGCCATAATTTCATTGTTAAAATACAAGTAGTACGATCAATACTATGAAATAATCGATTGTTCGATAGATAATTTAATAAATTCATTTTTCTTGTTTAACTCAATAAGAAAATTTTGAATTGATATTAATAACTTTTTTAAGTTAAAAAAAATATATGTAATAGAATTGCTTAGAATTCTACTACGTATTTATAAGATTTAATATTCACACATTTCTATCAAGAAATTAATTATGTGTGAAAAATAATATTTCGAATATTCATCACATCATTTATGATGAAAAATCCAAATAGAACAAAATAAATCTTTTCATTCGAACTAGATCTATCTCGATAGTTTCTCAACAGTTCTTAAATAGTCAATAGGAAGAGTTCAAATATATTTCATTTATTAAAATATTCGGAGAGAAAAATTGAGAATCAAACGATCTGTTCCTTTTATATAGAAATTCAAAGGTTTAGAAAAATAATCAATCTTTTTTCAGTTCTTTCAATTTTCGGATAAATTTAAAAATAATAGTTTATCAAACTGGATGAAATGTTTCAATTGATTTATTTCTAATTCTATATAAGATTTTATTTTTTTAATATCAAAGTCACGTATATATGCAATATTCTCTTTTCATAAAATATATCGTAAAATATATTTTCATGTCAACAAGACCTGTTCTTTCATCGATTCATGGATAAAATCTTATATATATATAAATCGAGTGATAGAATGTGAAAAGAATTAATTATCTATCGAATAGAAAATAATAAACATTTGTTTTCTCTATAAGATGCAAGTTTATCTTGATTTGTTATCAAAAAGTCAAAGTTAAATTTTCAAGTTAAAACATACGAAACAAGTAAAGTACAATATTACTTTTTATGTGCATTACTCTATTACGAAATAATTTTAAAAAAATCTTAGATATGTCAGAATATCATCAATGTATCATGTACGACTGAAAACATGACGAAAAATAAACGAATTTACTCTCACAAGTCCGTTAACATCAACAATGTCAACTATTTTCGAAAGATATATTTTGTTTCTTACGAATTTTCGAAGGTTAAAATATTAATGAACATGTTTGTTTTATCAATAAATAAAATTCGAGCAAAATTGTATCATATTAAAAATCTTCTCATTACTCTATTCTTGATCTATACACTTGAAAATATTTCAAGTTTAGATTATCAACAATCAATATAAGACACACACTATATAAAAGTTCCATAGAATTTATTTTTTTACTTTTTTTCATGATTCGATAGAATATACAATTCGACTGTTTTATAATCTTCTTAACGTACAATATAAATATATTCATTGCTCATATATTTCTGAATGAATGAATTCTTTTTGAAAGTATATATTCGATTTGAAAACAATATTTATTAGAAGTATTTTCTGAATAAACTTTGAAAAAAAAGAAGCCTTTCAAAGTCGTTTATTGATCTATACTTTGATTTTTCCATAGACATAACAAGATTTTGAAAAAAGGTTTCTTTCTTCAGCTCAATAAAAGTAATAAATGAAGGGTCATGTCAAATATTTAAAATGTATACTTGTTGAGTTTCATTATTTTTCCATAAAAAACATATGTAAGCAACTGAATATGATATGTATCACGTTTCTATGCATGTGATATGAAATTAATCTTGTTTTTCTCCTTTGCTAATGATGTTTTTTTTACTTTCACGTTTGATCTATCTATATTTTAGTATTTTCATTTTTTAAATAAAGCTGCGACAACTATTCCAACAAAAAAATCATTTTCTTTTTATAATATTTTAATAATAGAAACCCAATTTCATATTGTTTTTTGCATCGACAAAATAAATATATAAAATTTTAAATAAAGATGTCGCATAGATCGTATTTAAGTATTAAGGATTGGATATTTTATTAACCATAAAATAAAAAGATAAGTCATTTTTATCTTCTTTTTATTATGGCATGAAATGAAATGTGTTAGTTAATTTTTAATCTTGAATAAAATAAAGTAAAATGATTGTTTTGAATTAAAAATGTTTAGATTTATTTTAGATGGCATCATATTTTGATGAACATAATTGTGAACCATTAGAAAATGGTGAACAACCAAATCATTTATTAGATTTAGCTCGTTTATTATTAGATAGTGGAATTGGTGCCGAATTTGAACTTGAATTTGAACGTATATTTGGTCATGTTGATGGTCGAAAACAACCACCAGCAGCTAAACATATTATTGAAAATTTACCATCAATAAATAATTTTAAATCGGATGAAAAATGTTCAATTTGTTTAAAAGAATTTGAATTAAATTCAACGACAGAATTGCCATGTCATCATAAATTTTGTAAAAATTGTATTATTCAATGGCTTAATTTAGTTAATTCATGTCCAATGTGTAGAATTGAATTACCAACTGATGATAAAGATTATGAACAATATAAAAAACAAAAAGAACGTACAAAAACAAGACAACTTGAATTAGATGATTTACATAATTCAATGTTTTCTTAGTTGAATTTTTATTTGAAAAATAAATATATAATTCAGATTTTAAACGAGAATATTCTATAAAAGGAAATGAATAAACTATTGTTTTATCGATATATTAGAAATAAGAAATTTATAATTTAAGAATTCTTTCTTATATATTCATTTATTTATATTTTTGTCACCAGTTCAAAAAATCATTTTGTTTTCTTTTCAAACAATGCGTAAACATTTCTTGAATGTTTTTATGTATTTATCGATAAGGTTTTGTCCAGGTGTGTTTGACGTAATCAACATCGATTTTTGTTAAAAATATACATGCACGATATTTTATGGTTGTTAATAGAGAATGAATAAATGTATATGTTATTCAGATTTTTATATAGATAAATTCAAGGATTAATATGGGCTTTTTACTAACAACTTGTTTTTCATTTATTTACTGTAAAGAAATAGACGAAAACATTTCAAAATTGGTTTTTACGTCTTTGAAAAAAATATTATAAAAATAATATGTCAAAACAAGGACGATAATTATTACCTGTCATCCATCTTTTATGATTATTATTGAGTACCCATAAAGAAAAAATAAACGAACCGTGACGGCTTTTTTTGCGATCTCTTTTTTTGTGTGATAAAAGAGTTGAAATGATTTCACATATTTGACAATAAAATAAATTCTATAATTTACTATTCACTTTTATTTTACACATAAGAAAACAACAGTTTAGCCATGTTACTTAAATTATATTCGAATTTTTTATTTTTATTTCTTAATGTCTAAATAATAAAATTTTAATTGTAACAAAACAGTACTAATACTCATTGATGTTCATTTTTATAGTATGTAATCTTTTAATCGATTGGGTACAACTATTTTATAATTATTTATGTTTTATTCGTTCTTTTTCTTACTTTGAATAAAATTATTTTTGTTTTATTCAAACGCAATACTATCAATCGATATTATTACAAAATATCATTACTTCGTTTCTTTTTCTTTAATAACAACGATCGATGATTGTAAAAAAAATTCTATTTATAAAGTATTTTAAAGGGAAAAGGGTACTTTGAAATATTTTATAACTGTAAATAATAACAAAACAAAGTTTTCACAAGTGAGAAATATTCACTGAACAAATTTTCAAAAATCTACTATTTAAATATTCTTTTAACCTTAAACTGAGTTATTTCTGGACTGATGATTTATTGTGTTTTTTTCTGTGATATTATCTTTGTTAAATAACTCATGAAATGAAAATTCAATTCTCTATTTTTTGTTCATTTCATATTTACTCATAAGTTAATTAAGAATTAGTTTTTTTTTGACATTTTTTATTAAAAATAATATATATAACTAATATTTATAAATTTTATAATTTCTAATAAAAATATAAAATTTGAACAGATAAAGAAATAGTTACAATTTAAACTGATAGAGGTAAGTCTTTTACATTTAATTGTTGATTATTTCTTTGTGGTTGTTGTTGTTGTGGTTGTACTCGAGTAGCATTATATCTACTTTGTGAGATATCTGATCGAAGTCTAACTAAACTTCGTCGTTTATTATTTGATCGAGAACGAGCATATGTATTTGGCAACGGTGGACGTTCAGATTTGTTTCCTACCACTGTTGTTGAAGTTCCTCCTCGATTTGGTTTTTCATGCACTTCCCATTTTTCACCATGAGCTAAATAAAATAGAAAATAAATTTATTAAGAAAATAATTTGAAATAAAAAAAAATTATCTTACCAATCCAATCAAGTCCTCTCATTTCTTCGTCAGCTGATAAACGAATTCCAATTGTATATTTTAATGGAATAAGTATTCCAGCAGTACATGCAGCAGCAAAACCTATAGAAATAAAGAAAATTTGATTTATATTTTAAAATAATAATTTAATACATACCAACAGTAGTTAATATTCCAGCAATTTGATACCATAATTGAACTGGATGTCCATAGAAAGCTCCATTTGCACCACCTGGATTCGCGTCTAATTGAGCAAATAATCCTGTCATAAATGCACCAATAATTCCACCTTAAATTAAAATAGTTTAGTATTATTTACTAAAAAAAATGTTTTTTATAATACATACCAATACCATGAACAATAGCAACATCTAAAGTATCATCAAATCTCATATGATGTTTGTACAAAACAATAAAATAGATAATAATTGTTGGAACTACTCCAAATAATATTGCCCAGCCAGGTTCAACAAAACCGGCTGCTGGTGTTATTGCAACTAAACCAACAACTGGACCAACACATGCACCAGATACTGATACTTGACCACGAAGAGCATCAATTACAACCCATGTTATTAATCCAGCAGCAGCTGCACCAACTGTATTTACTAATGCTAATGATGCTAATGCACTAAAATATTAAAACAAAAATAGAAACGAAAAAATAGTTTATTATTAATAACTAACTTTGCTGCATTAGCTGAACCAGCATTAAATCCAATCCAACCAACCCATAATAAACAACAACCAAGAACTGTAAATGGTAGATTATTTGCAACGGATGCGTGAGGTTTATAATCAATACGCTTTCCTAAGATTAATGAAGCAACAAAACCTGATACACCAGATGATATATGCACTACTGTTCCACCTGCAAAATCTAATGTTCCTAAATGTTTTAACCAACCATTTTCTGACCAAACCCAATGTGCTAATGCATCATAACAACCAGTTGTCCAAAGAAAGATAAATATCATATAAGGAATGACTTTCATTCTTCCAACAATTGCTCCTATTAATATAAAAAAAAGAATAATTCTAGAAATATTTTATCTTATTTTTTATAACAAACCTGATATAATAGCTGGTGTAATAATTGCAAATGTTCCTTGATATGCTGCATAAGTTAACAATGGATATGTTGGACTATAAAATGGGTCCATACGTGATCCAAATCTTAATACTGCATCACCAAATGAACCAAACCCACGACTCACTGGTGGACCAAATGCAAATGTAAATCCAATCAAAACCCATTGAGTAAATACAATTCCCATACAAACAAATGATAAAAATAGTTGATTTAAAATATTTTTTGTATGAACAAGGCCACCATAAAAGAAAGCTAAAGCAGGTGTCATCATGAGAACTAAAGCTGTTGA